GAATAAGGACTCTAGATTGGATAATAAGCTATATAAAGAAGTGGGCAAAAGAAGACATATGGGCTAAGGAGACCAAGACGTAGCATAGGAAGTGTAAAGCTAGACTAGCGTTAGTAGCCCTTTCGGCTCGGCCGCCGGGCGTAAATAAATTGTGTGTGTGTGTACTGCACGCCACATGACGGTTTGGTCATTGGGCTTTTCTCCCTTACGGTTGTCGCTAGCCGTTGCAGCCCTGGTACTCCTACATAGTAGAGTCCTGTGAGCCTGAGTGGTTTTGGATCCTGAGTGGTTTCATGCTGAGAAAGAATTTCACCTAGTCCTATCCCAAGCTAGATCGTAGCTTTGAAAATGAATAGTAGTACGTGATATAGCGTGAAACACCGGCAAGACCGCGCCAGAAAGCAAGGTCAAACGTACGTTAGACTATGCTTCGACTAAGTCTTCACCGCTTTCCCGCTGCAGATTTCATCCTAGAAGAGACGATGTTGGCATTACTATTCCTAGTTGTCACTGTGGTGGTAGCAAGAACGATCAGTATGTGTCTAGCTCATCACCAGCAGCGAGTAGTAAGTAAGGACATGTCTGGTGTTGGTGTTGCTAAGTTGTACAAGGCAGAAAAGGCTACTAGCACTCGTCACGGATGCCGTTCGCCTCCAACGCTGCACGTCCATTGGCCTTTCGGTCTCGACCGCCTTAAGCAGATGGTTCAGGCAGATGCAGAGTTGCGGTTGATGCAGTTGTTCTTGTTTCACTTCCAGCAAACGGGAAGCACGCTGGAACAAAAGTTCCTTGGAACCAAGGTGTTTGGCACGATGGAGCCGGCCAACCTAGAAGCCGTTCTCTCCACTCAGGCCAAAGGTAGGTGTTCCCCTGATGGCTAGAGTAGAGCAGCTGCCAAGAGATGACAATGCCACCAGACTTTGGAATTGGCGCACGCCGGGCTGTTGCAATGCCAATGTTTGGAGAAGGCATCTTCACCCAGGAAGGAGCTGACTGGAAACGCTCCCGGGACTTGTTACGCCCGCAGCTGCACCACAAGTATTACAGCAATCTTGAGACATTCCGCAATTCAGTAGATGAACTGATCCATGCAGTAAGAGAGTGCAGAGGCACAGTCGACCTGCAGCCTTTGTTCTTCCGCATGACGTTCGACACTACCACAGGCTTTCTTTTTGGAAGGTGTGATAGTAGCCTGAGTGGAGCACAGGAGGGCAAGGAGCATCGCTTTGCGGATGCATTTGATACAGCCCAACAGTGGATTATCAAGAGGCTAAGGTTTGCCGGGTTTTACTGGCTGATAGACAGTAGAGAATTCCGCCAGGCCTGTAGGGACATTCATGCGTTCGTAGACCGTAACATCGACGGCCATGTGCAGAAGGTACCTGCCGAAATCGAATATCCAGAGACACACAGCTTCATAAACTCCATTGCACAGGCCGCATCTAATCGAGCCGCCCTTCGAGCCCAGGCAATCAGCATTCTAGCGGCGGGAAGAGACACAACAGCCAGCCTTCTCTCCTGGGCATTGTAAGTTGATACGGGCCGCGCTTTTGCCAGCTTTTAGCTGACTTTCCAGCTTCCTGCTCGTTCGCCACCAGCAAGTTATGGACAAGTTGCGCACAGAGATTGCGTCGACGTGTGCCACAGGCTCACATCCCAGTCGGGACGATCTGATGAAGATGCCATACCTAACAAACGTGCTTAAAGAAAGTATGTTCTACAAGTCCGACCCTAGGTAGTACAAAAACTCAGCCTACACAGCGTTGCGACTCTACCCGCCGGTCCCCGTCAATATTCGAACCGCCTTGAAGACAACCGTGCTTCCTACTGGGGGCGGACCGACCGGAGCCGATCCAGTCCTCGTTCCGAAAGGGAGCATAGTTGCGTTCAGTCTGTACTCGATGCATAGACGGCCGGATCTGTACGGCATGGATGCCGAGTTATTTCGTCCAGAGAGATGGGATGAAGATATACCTTTGAAGCATAATCCTACGAGTTCCAAGTGGGGCTACATTCCTTTTCATGGCGGGCCGAGGAGATGCCCTGGAGGTGAGCATGCTTGGCTTGAGGTGGGTCTCTTCAGCTAACAAGTGTGCTACTAGCCGACTTTGCGCTCACAGAAGCTGGGTACACAATCGTGCGCCTGCTTCAGAGTTTTCCAGGCCTAAAGCTTCCGTGTGGGGAGCGTCTTGAGTTACTTGGCGTCGAGAAGCAGAAATCGACGGTGGTTCTAACGATAGCAGAGGGTTGCAAGGTTGATGCTAGCGGCGACTGATGCGACGGATTATACAACCAAATTTGGGCACTAGAGATGAAGCGTTGACAAAGAAGAGATGCTATGTGAATTGCCTGTTGCATTCTATCTTAGGTTACATGCACGCTATTGAACTCGTAAAGACACTTCTACACAATGCCCTCATAGTATTAGGTCCGCCAACGTATCCAGATGTTCCTGTCTGCGCCTTATCGTGCTTACCACAGCTTTTCAGTATCAAAACCAAGATGTTCCCACTTTCCAGCGTGTGCTGGTCAGGATCCCTGCTTACTCGCTTATTATCGCCAGTTTGAATGGATCGTTTGGTTTCGGCAATATTTTTTCCGCCTCTTGTACTTGCCGTGGCTCTGCAGCAGTCGCACCAACTTTTTTTGAGAGTATGGTTGGGTGCGGCCATCTGCTTCGCCACCCTATCGTGATGACAGTATCAGTGCTCGCATCGATTTCTAGAAGCCACTACACATACTGTGTCTAACTCTAGAGTGAAACATCGAAAGAGTGCGCCAAAGACATTTGCCTTGTGTGACGAGTTGTGTACAACTACCTGCTGGACAAGCTGAACACAAACGAACACAGGAAGGTGGCCTAGCAAGGCTGGCCTGCTGAGCGCATTGCAATTTCGAGAGCTGCTTAGAGGGGCTGTTTTCCGTCACTTTTGTGGTATTGTGTTTAGATAGAAAAGAAAAAACAACGTGCTATCGTTAATACACAACTTGCAAGATAAAGCAACCAACTAATTAACCAACGTCCATCCTTGCGTCACAGGAGGCACCCTGTCGCGAAACAGACGTGAGGTACTTTGAGACCAAACGATTGCAGTCTCCCAACCATGCGTGATGTCTTTCATTGGTAGTTGCTTAGTCTCAATGGTCATTTTGTAATTCAAGAAACAAAAGTTGAAACGTTGTTGGCGCCTGCATGCCATACACAGTTGAGCTTTCTACAATGCCACAATCTAGATCTATGCTATATAGCATTAATTATTTTATTTTATTTTTATCGCATGTCATTGGATCACTTGCGGCGATCAGCAATGGCGATTCTTAGCTACGCAAGCTTGCAGATGCGTTGCATCATGTCAGCCCAGTAGGCATGTCCCATCTGACTCCTCTTTGGAGCAGAGCGGAAGCGCAAAGAGACCTTTTTGCGCGACATTATGGACTTTTGGAGGAGGTCAATGACATTGCTGAGGTCTCTCTTGCTAAGCAACGGAAGCGCCTGTTCTGCAGCATGGTATATCCCCTGCACTGACCATCGTTTGTAATTACCATCTTTGAAGAGGGTTTTTAAGGCTTTTTTTTCGTGCGACTTGTATCAGGAATACTCATTTCCATCGTAATGATCGTTAAGACTGAACTGCTTGGTCATATTGGTACATGGAGTCGGGCTATACTTTCTCTGTTTACAGTCGACCCAGTGTAGGTGTTTGTGCCGGGTGCAAGTGCTCTTTTGAGGAAGTCCTTGGTCAAAGGCCTCAGGTAACTCTTCCTCAAGATACCGTTGTTGGTTAGGGGCCTGGTAAATCGCGTTTTGTGTGTTGTAGCCTGTGGTTCCTATCCTTCCCAGGCGTGTGCAGTCGTTGGCTAGGTGTTTGGTATCTCCGCATACCCAACACTGCATTTGGGCTAACTGTTGCAGTGCCCCGACCTCATATAGTACCCCTTCGACGTCTTGTGGGTCATCCCAGCTTCCGATCTCCTCCATCTGAATCGGCTGTGGGAGCTTTACGTAAGGTTCCCGTCCTGGTAGACGGGTTTCGTCGTACACGGCAATGTCGCTGACCTCGTCCTTGGTGTTTGCTATGGGTTCCAGCTCAGATGTTCGAAAAATTTTCATATCGGCCATGACGACTGTCTGCCTAACTTCGTTCTTTGGGCAGCCTCTGCGGAAGTGTCCCATTTCTCCGCATCGGAGGCATGCTTTGTTATCGTAGCGTTTCTGTCGCTCTTTCTTGGAAATATTGTCTTGGTTCGTTCCTTGGGATTTCTTGTTCTTGACCTTGTTCTGAACTTTGTCCGTCATATAAGTATCGCCGTCTTTGTTAGTGCGATTCCGGTGTTTCTTCATGTTGGCCGTAGTTGGTTGGAGTCGTGTTTTCTGCTGGGCGCCGTTCCAGAGCCTGTTGTCGATGCGCGTGGCGAGCTCTACGAGCTCCTGCATGGTCTTTGGCTGATGCCAATGGATCATATTATCCTTAATGATCTCTTTCAGGCCCCTTTCGTATGCGTCCATAAACGCTCCCTCGCCCCAGCTACTGATCCTTTGTTGGAGTTGCCGGAACTCAGTAGTATATGCTGATACTGCTTTGGTCTGCTTCAGGCGAGATATCGCTTTCTTTGCCTGGCTTTCCGCGTCTACCTCCCCGAAGATGCGTCCTAATTCTTCCTTGAAGTTGGCCCAACTGCTGAACAAGGTACGCGTATCGTCCTTGGTTCCTTTGTTGTCGATGTCCACTAGAAAGTCCTCCACATAAGGTTGCATCCAGCTTGCCGCTTTCCCCTTCATGTGAGTGTAGGCCATGAGTATCTTTTCTTCGTCGTTTGGCACATCGTTGTAACCACAGTACAACTCGATGTTGGTGAGGAACGTCCGTAACCCATCGCGGTTTCCGTCATATTTGTCTGGGGTTGCCATCTTGGGTTTCTTGATAGGCTTTTCGTTCGGTGTGGCCATCAGCTGACTCGTGAGCTGATTGATCATCGCTTGTATCTCAGCCATCTGCTGTGCATGGATCGTGGCCTGGTGCCTAAGATTCCGCAGCTCTCGTAAGTTGTGTGCGTCGTCGTCCACCTCGTCGTCACTTGGGGTCAGCATCTCATCGTCGACTGCTGGGTTGGGCACTGGTCCGGGACTCTGAACTGGTCCATCGGCACCTGCCTGTGACTGAGCCGGGTTGTGAGACATCTTTGAATCTTAATCGGGCGTCCTATTGTTGATCTTCCTAAGTCCACTGAATCCGTGGGTGGTCAAAGTGTTACACGGGGTTGGGTGCTGATACTTCTCTAAGCTCGGTCCGGGTTAGGGCGAGTGAGATGGTGTGAAGAGCGCCGTGAGAGTTTGTCTGGCGATGCAGTGGAGTGGTATGCTTGAATAGAAGGTAACAAAGGTATGACAACTACTAATCTATATCGAATAGACTAACGAGTAACAATCTTGTTAAGTAAAGCAACTAGTAAGAAAGTACAATTTGAGTTGACCACAACGAGAGTAATAATGAAATCCATCCATCCTTTTATCCTCATTGCTTCCGGTCTTGCCATCCCTTCCATCCCATCTTGGCGGGATGGTTGTGATGGCGCTGCCATCCCATCATGCACTGCCATCCCGGATGG